GTCTGTAAAAAAAACGATTTGTTCAAATTTTCTTTTCATTTGTTTTATTTGCTTTGAAATTTGTTTTTAAAAAAATTGCTAAAATTTTCTCACTTTTATTTCTACCTGTGGTACTTCAATCTCGCTACGCTCATTCAACTTTGGTAATTTTCGGTCTTTGCTTTGCAACTGCTTCTAGGTGGAAAAATAGAAAAAAAAAAATGAAATGTCATTGCATGGCAAATGAGGGTAAATGAAGGTAAAGAAAAATAAAAAAAAAAAACTAATATAAATAAAAATAAAATAAACAAAAAAAAACAACAGTAAAATAAAAAAAAAATAATATGAAAAAAATATTAAAAAAAAGATTATAAAAAATTTATAAATAAAATAAAAAAAAATGATATGCGAAAAAGTAAAACAAATTCAGATTATATAAAGAAATTTAACTAATTAAAACAAATAAAAAAAATTAAGTGAAGTCAATTCTATAATAAAAAAAAAACACAAAAATATAAAAAAATAACTAATTTTGCGTTAACTTAATTCAAATTCTTAAATAATAATAAAGTTATAATAATATCATAATATTGGTTAAACAAATAATAATACAATACAAAAATTAAGCAAAATAAAATAAATAATATTATAATAAAAAAAGTTAAGTTAAAAAAAAATAAAAAAATGAAATAATTAGTCAGAAAATATAAGAGAATAAAACAATAGAAAATAAAATTTATATTAAAATCGTATATAAAGGAAAAAAAAATAAAACAAATTAATTAAAATAACACAAACTTACAACGTCAAAACAAAATAAAAAAAAAAAAGTAATAAAATGAAATGAAGAAAAATAATATAAATAAATTGTGTTTAATTAATAAAAAAAATGAAATAATAATACAAAAAATTAAGTTAAAAAAAAAATAAAAAATTTAAAAAAAAAAAAATAATAGAGGAAAATAAAACAACACGAAAGAAAACTAAAATTAAAAAAGTATATAAAAAAAAATTAAATAAAATAAATTGATTAAAATAAAACAAACTCATAAAAAGCTCAAAAAAATTAAAAATAATAAAGTAAAATAGTTAGTTCAATACAAATTACATACAAAAATTAAGTGAAAAAAAAAAATGAAATATTGTATAATATAAGTAATGAAGTTAATAAATAAATAAAGTAATTAAAAAAAAGTATAACAGATTAAAACAACTCAAAAGTAAAATAAAACAAAATAGGTAAAATAAAAAAAAACAAAATATACTAAAATAAAATAAAAAATTTTTCAAATTAAATAAAGTTAATTAAAATGAAATGAAATATAATGAACGAAAATAAAAAATGAAATAGTCTATTAAAATAAATAAAAAAAAAAACAATCAAATAGGATGAAATAATTCAAAATTTAAAAAAGTAGTATAAAGTAAATTAAAAAAAAGAAAACAAAAAGCATAAATAAAATCAATAAAATTGTAGAACGTAAAATAATTGAAAAAAATAGGAAAAAAAATAAAATAATAAAACAAGTCGAATACATAATTAAAAATAAGAAAAAAAAATATATACAAACATAATTAAAAAAATAAAATGTAAAGAAATAAAATAAAACCAAAAAAAAAAATAAAAAAACCAAAAAGAAAAAAAAGATAAAATTAAAAGAAAATGAAATAAACAAAAAAAAATACAAAAAAAAAATTAAAAAAAAAAAATATATTAAAAAAAAAAATATATTAAAAAATAATTAAGTTTATAAAATTTGGAAAATATATTTAAATTATATTTGACAAAGGAAAATGAAATAAAAAGATTAAATAATTATAATAAAATTTCTTAACCTCATTAGTTTCCGACTCGCTTCTTAGTGTTATTTACTCAAAAAAAATTGGAAAAGTAATAATAATTCTGATGAAATCTTTGCGATAAACTTAAATTGACAAAAAAATCAAAAATGTATATCCTGCATCACGAACGAACCTACTGCCGCTGCAACTCAACGAAAAAAAGTATACATTTTATACTCAGATATATGTCCGTGTAGGTGCTCTTTTTATTATTGTAAAAAAAATTTTCGTTTGTCTTTTGGGGAAATATAATTTTTTTTTTGTTTTTTGGCTGTTAAAAAAAAGTGCAATGTAATTACTTGAACTTAATTGATTTTTGATCTAATCGATAATGTTGTAAAAAAATAATAGGCGATACGAACATGAAGTGACGGGTGCTCGTCATGCCATGTACGCTCAAAAAAAATAGCGCGGAGCATAATACCGAAATAAGGAAATGTTGGTGCAATGAAATTTCATGATTACACTTGTACTCAGTCGTTGTAAAAGTTGATGTGTCAAAAACTATTTAACTTGAAAAAAAAAAAATAATTAAATGTCTATAAATTTTGCTTGTCGTAGAGCTTTTTGTTCATCAAATTTAAAAAAATGCTAGGCTGCTACACTGTTTATATATATCTAAATTTGTGTGAGTTTTCGTGACAAAAAAAATATTGGGGAGACTTGCAATACGAAAAATACATCAATAAGGTTTATTTGAATTTAAAAAAAAAAAACTAGTATAAAGTGGTGTTTTACTATATTATTATAATAAATAAGAATTGAAAAAAAAAAAGTTATAAACAAATTAAAACATACAAAAAAACTGAAATTTTCTGAAAGAACAAAAAAAAATGAAAACATAAAAATACATATATTAAAATAAAAAATAAAAAGAATAATAAATTGATGGAAAATAAAGCTTAAAAGCACACAAATAAAAACATAAAAGATGTTTATTAAACAATTAAAAAAAATAATAATAGTAGCAAAAATAAGTACACACAAAAAGACTTATAAATAAACAAAAAAAAAAAGCGAAAGAAAAAAAACAAAAAGTACTTATAATATATAAAAGGTATTGAAATATTAAAAAAAAAATTAAAAATTAATATTATAAGCAAGAAAACAAAAATATATATATATATATATAAAAAAATATATTCATATAAAAATAATATCAGCATTAAAATAATTAAATATGATATTAAAAAAAAAAAAAATTTATAAATTTATAAAAATATTAAAAAAAAAACTAATATTAAAAGCACGTAAAAAAAAAAAAAATGCGTGTATAAAAAAATATAAAAACATTGAAAGAATAAAAATTAGTTTAAAAAAAACTAAAAAAGTAAATTCATAAAAAAAGTTGCGTGTTTAGCATATTATGATTCATAAGAAAATTATAAACTTTTTATACTGAAACAGTTAATATTTTTCCTATTTTCACCACTCGATGCTAATAAAATAGTTAAATTTTTTTCAACTTTTTCCACACGAGGTCAATTTGTGAAAAAAAAAAAAAGAATTTTCAACTAATAAAAACAATTTTTTTCTCTTTTCAGCAATTAAAAAAAAATAATAATTCATTTAAGAAATAAAAATATAAAATAAATGAAAAGCAAAAAAAAAATTTTAACCTAAATAAAATATTTTTAAATCACAAAAAAATAATAGTAAAGTTTACTAAAAAGCAATCACTTGGTTTAAACTACATCAGTTAGGGAATCACCATAAATATAAATTCTTTTTTTTTAAGCATAAAAAAAACAAAGAAAAATATATATGTATATGCCAAACAGGTAAAAGTATTTTTAGCTAACAAAAAAATTCCCTCCAATTCTTCTCATTACGTAACACACACACACACGCCCTCATACCAACAAAAAAAACGGCGATGATCAACACAACTATTTAACAACTCTGTGTGTGTGTGTGTGGGTGCAAAAAAAGCTATGGCGTAAAATGCAACAACAATTACGGCTTACAAAAATCGATGAATATTTTTGGGGCTGCAAATCAACACAAACCTTGTCCAAACCAACATAAAAAAAAAATAATGGGCATAAAAAAAAAAATGTAAATGCAATTGCAAAAACAAATATTTGCGGTCACTAATTAAAATGTCAAAAAAAACAATTGCTTACTGTCCGGTTTCTTTCCGTTTTTGCTGGTGTGTGTACAACAAAAAAAAAACAATACGGCAAATGTTCAATCTAAATACGTTCGTATGCCGATGGCCACATCATTAAAAAAACTCCTCTGCATACAATGCCGTTGATGGAACGGCGATGATTGCCAAATGAAATTGACAAACAAATGCGAAACGCTTGCGGCGGTCACATTTAACACCAAAATAATACTAATGCAACAAAAAAAGTTGTAACAACGCCGATGACGAAAACGACGACGACCATTAATACTACGACGACTAAAAAAACGGCAACTACTATTTTTACGATTTCTACTACCAATTTTGACATATCATTCAATGAAAAAAATGCCAATAATGATGATGATGACATCGCATCTACTGACACATCTCGTTATCTCCGAAAAAAATCGGCTCACGCGGCATGTCATGTCATCCACGAATGACTGAAATGTCTGAAAATAAATAATGAAAAAAAACGATTAAAAATAATTTGAAAAAATATATATATTAAATAAATTGTCCTGGTAAGCGGAAAAAATGCATTTACATTTTTTTAAATGGAAAAAAAATATATATATATAATATATTACAACAAAAAATAAATAATATAAAACGCGCAACGAATTGAATTGTCAAATAAACGCACAAAACAAAAAAACAAAAAAATAAATATAAAAATGAAATAAAATAAATTAAATAAAAAAAAAATACGCTATCAAACTGCAAACATCACAAAAATAAAATTTACAAAAACGAAAAAAATAATACAAAATAATCGCACATACACCCTCGCGTCACTTGCCACCGACGACTCTATTTATACTTACAAAAAAACACCAACGCATGCCGGAAATGTCATTGCACTTGTCTGTCTGCACTGTAACGCTCAAAAAAAATTACGGAATTTGTTGCCCTTTTGACTTGATGCATTCTCATGCCAACAATAAAAATTTCGAATGAAAACAAAAAACAAAAATTATTTTGCTCGTTAACTTTATATTTGCAACGATGCTGCTATACTGCCATGGATTTGTAAATCGTAAAGGTAAATACAACTGTCAAACGGTGGCAAAAAAAAACTGTCAAATTATTGATGTGTCATTGTAGTCGTCCGCCTGCCAACAACAGCTAAAAAAAAAAACTGAAACGAGAGCAAAGCACAAGTGATAGCTGTCGTTTATTGAGGAGCAACACAAAAAGAAAACGAACGAAGCAAGTAACGAAAATATAAAAGCTATAAGAGGAAGACAGAGTAAAAAAAAAAGAGAGAGAGGGAAAGGGCGAGGAAAAAAGGCAAGCAGTCTCTACTCTAAACACATGACAAGCTAAATAACAGAGTTGATATTTGGCAAAATATAAAAAAATGAAAAAAAGTTAAAAAAACTAGAGTAGTTTGCAGAAAATATAGAAAAAGAAAGCATGCACCGCATGAGTACGAAAAAAATGAGCTTTAATATGAGCAAGCAAGAGAAAGAAAGCTGAGAAAGCTTAAATTAAGAAAAAAATAAAGTGTAATCTACTAATAAGTAGAGAAAATATCGAAAAGAACAATTAACAGAGTGTGGAAAATATCTTTAAAAAATAAAGAAAGAAAATAAAAAGCTCTTAAACGAAGAGAAACAAGTTTTCAAAGGCGCTTTGATTGATATATTTTAAAAAACTAAAGAAAGCAAGCGCTTCAACCACACAAAATAGCGCATTGGATTTATAAAGAGACTCGAAATAGAGCTTACAACCGACAAAAAGCTTACACGCGAGCTTACAACCCCAAAGTTGCAGTTTAAAGCTCACAGTGAGTCTATAAAAAAAAAGGAGAAAGAAAAAATAACAAATCTTAAACAGCTAGCGATCACTGCAACGAATAAGTTCAAAGAGTAAGACGAGAAAACACAAAGGTTGCACAAGATTAAGAAAGCTTAACAAAGAAAAAAAAACAATTTTACGAAAAAAAGTTCCAGATCAAAACATTAAAATAAAAAATTCAAAAAAAAAAAGAAAACCGACTACTAACCAGCAGCGAGTAAGTCTAGTTATATAACGGTAACCTAACGGTGATTCAGGCAAAAGCTCATTACGAATTTTGAAAAAATCATTAAAAGCACAACTCAAAAAAAACAACAAAGTACACCTGTCATTAAAAATCATAATTTTCCGTTGCTGCTGTCGTTAAAAAAAATACCATTGCTGTTGTTGTTAGTGCTGCTGATATCGCCCACAACAGCTTAACTCAAAAAAAAATAATATGGGGCTGCAAATGGCAGGATTGCCAGCAGCCAACAATTATGTTGCAAAAAAAAAAAAAACACTCTCAGCAACGGCAACAACAAAATTACGCTGCCACCACCGCCGCATAAAAAAAATTCAGACCACAACCACAGCTATAGCCGTAACCATAGCCATAGCCATAGCCAATAAAAAAAGAAAACTTAATAACACAATTTCTGTTACGTCGTCAAGCATTTCAGCAACATTGCAAAAAAAATTAATATTGCTGACCTGGAATCCAGCAACAATTGGCGTTGATGCAGTCCGTGAAAAAAAATACTTATACTTACCATATATGCATATAGTTTTTCTTTATATTAACTATAGACATAAAAAAAACATACTACATAGCATAGGTGTATATGTGCATACAAAATGCACACATACATATGTGAATGCGACTTTTTTAAATTCTTTACTATTTAATTTCATTATTATTTGCATGAACAAGTGATTTTAATTGAATTTCGCTGAGTTATTGTAGGGTAGAAATGTAAGTTATTGATTGGAAAGTAAAAAAAATATATAAATATATATATACTAGTTAGTATGGATTTTTATGCGCATTTATAAGTCGGAATCGAATATATATTTATGTGATTTATACTGCCTTTTATATATTATTTAACTATTAAAAAAAAAATGAGGTATGCTGTTCAAGTCACAGTTAAAATAAATACTTCCGTGAGGTATTTAAAAAAAAAAAAAAAATTCCCAAGAGTTTTTTTTTTTTTTGAAAAATTCGAAAATATTCTAAATTTTATTTTCTCGATTATTCTATAAGAGCAGTTGCTCTTTGCGATACTTTTTCAATCAATATTATAATGATAGCACTATTGTATGTATATATGTTTATAGTAAATAATAAAAACTCCAAAATAATAAGTAATTTGATATACCGAAGAAAGAAGAAAGAAACTGATAAAAAAAAATGTTATGAAAAAAAAAAAGGTCTAAGCAAGCCATATGACTTTTGAGTTGAGTTGAGGTGAGTTGAGTGGAAAAAAAAGCTGGTTAAGCTCAGCATACAGGCCAATAGGCTGCTGCCTTCACCTTCTCAAATAAAAAAATTATTTCCAATGTTCGCTGAGGCCAGCTCAGCTTTGACAGTCGCAGAAGTATTTAAAAAAAAATTTGTGGCGCCAACTGTCTGGTGAAGTTACACGTGATATGGTTGGACCATCGAAAAAAAGCTTTCCTGTTGAAGGCGAGTTTAAGCATGCACTAAGCCGAGGACAGGGGTAAAAAAAAAAACGCAACTAAAACGCACAACGATACGCAATTTTGTTTGTAAAAATGGAAAAGAACTTAAAAAAGCAAGAAATAAAAATAAAAGTGATGAAACCAAACCAGCGCACAAAAAGTTTCAAAAAAATTTTTCGCAGTTTCACAGCTATTTAGCATACTTTTGGGCGCAATGGCTTATGGCAAAAAAATACGTTTTGCCTTCTATTTGCTACGCCTATGTATGTATGTATGTTTGTTTGTTTGTGTGTGTGTGTGTCTGTGTTGGCTTGAGAGTCGACGCACACACTGACTTTTGCTGCTCGGAAAAAAAACTTCATATTTTTCGACTTTTATTAAGCGGAAAACAAGTGCGTATAACCGCAATAAAAAAAGCAACAACAACAGCTGAAATTTTTTTATAAACAATAGCTGCTAGTATGGAAAGAAAAAAAAAACAATAACTATCTGTTGTAAAGTGGTAAATTTTCATATTGAGTGTGTGTGTGTAAAAAAATCTGTGCCAACGAAAAGCTGCTTGTGCGCGCGACTTAGCCTAAAGTTATGCTACAAAAAAATTTTTTTTTGGTAAGCTCTNGTATAAAATTTTTGGTATAAAATTTTTGAAAATTTTAAATTTTATTTTTTTTTTTTTTTTGGTAAGCTCTATATTAAATATAAATATTTGTGTGTATATAAAGGCATAGTTTTTGCTTTTTACGCCTATTTGCACCCAACTGAAATAAAGTGCGACTTGATTTTCATTTTTTCGGCGGAATAAGCGCTTAGTACATATTTTTCAGAACTTGTTTGCTTGCGGTTCAACTGCCTAAATGTAGGCAAAGGCGAAGAATTTCAGCTTTTTATACACTATGCTTCCAGCGGTTTGTTGTGCGCTTTGAAGTAGGAGACGGGTGAAGAAAATAGTGTGCGAGCGAAAAGATTGGTGTGCCTGATGAAGTTGTAAGAAGACGTAGTGGTTGTTAGTATGTAACAACAACAGCAGTACACTATAACAATTATGTGGATGTGTAAAATACCCAGAAAATCGTTGCTTTGTTCTATTGGGATCTTTTGAAAGTTTTCTACTCTCATACATAGTTACTACTGTCTTCACACTTAAGCCATTTGGGTGTTATAATACATTGTTGTTGTTGTGTTAGTTTCATTGTATGTAGAAAAATGAAATTTAATGGAAAATCTCGTAAAGTTGAAAACAAGATGGAAAGAAAGCTCTCTCTCACTCTGCGTTTATCTCTCTCACTCTTTGTGTGTGTGTTTGTAGTGGATAAAAAGGCGTAGATGAAAATGTGTTGTTACAAATTCCCACGATAATTGTTTGTATTTTTCACAAATTTTCAACGCAAAGGGTAAAAACTGGTAGGCATGGCGTCTGAAAGTATGCAATGTACTCCTTAATGTAAATATATACAAACATCCGTCGTCATAAGTGAAATACACATATTTTTAAAGCAGTAAAACAACTGCTTAGCCGAGCTTAGTTAACTTGAAAACATGAGTATTTCATTTGAAAGCTAAAATTGTCGCAGATTTTCTTCTCTCTGCTTTTCTTTTCACTACAACATTGTGTTACTATTTCTATTGTTAGCTGCGTCTTCTGTTTATTCTTCTTCTTCTTTGTATAAAGCAATTTCGTAGTAAATTGAAAACAAACAGCCTTAAGGCGTTTCGTCGCTTGGTTTGTCATTTTCATCGCTTCTAAGTTTTCCTGGCTTATGTTTGTTTCGTGCGCTACGCAGATTTATGCGCGTTGAAGTTTCTTACTTCAACTGTCTGGTAAGCATGTCAAATTGCTGCGTAAGAGATTTAGTACCTGAAGTTTTTCTTTTAGTTGTGCACAAAATACTTGTAACTTGGTATGCTGGCATCAAATTTCTAAGCAAAATGCATATTTCTTTAATAGATAAATACGCAATTAAAGGGCAAACCATCATTCAAACCATTCAGTTTATAAAAAAAATCTAAAACAAAACTCTTTCCATAAAAGCGCATTCAACGTGTTTTATAGCTTATTATTTAGTTTCTTCTATTGCAGTTTAAACAAAAATTCTTTATTTTTAGTTTCTTAAGCAAAAATTTTTATTTGTTTCGAAAATTCCATATCGTTTCGCAAGCCTAATATTCATCTCTTAATTATTTTTGAACAACTTGTTCTTTCAATATAAAGTTGCGCTACTTTGGTCACAGCTTTATACAATTTTTCAAAAGTTTCTACCGAACAAATTCACAAAATTTTGACGATTTGGCCTTGTTGTTGTTTGACACAAATCGTTGCCTAGCCAGAACAATTTAAAATGGCGTGCGCTTCTTCAAATCGCAAATTTTATTTTTTAACAAATGTGTAAAAAAAATTTCGTAGATATTATGTTGTTTCACGATTGTATTTGAAGCCAAAAAGAGTGATAAAGTCTTTTAAAGATACACGATATTTTATCATAAGTGTTTCTAAAATTCCAATTCACGCCACTTGCTGTGATTTCGTATACATCTCTTTAACAAAAATATATTCTAAAGATTTTACAGTTATGAAATATTTTAACCACTTTCCCCATGCCTTTTTAAAATTTTTACTAATTAATTGATACAAATATTTTCCGCCTTAGCAATTAAATTTGCATAAGCTAACAAAATAAAGTTTTGCTTATTAATCAGCGTAAGCAACTCCTTACCACACGATTTTATCTCTTGCAATTATGACAAGAATCTAGTAATTAATTACAATCTATCAACTTTAATGTCTGCGGTCGCATAGGGCATACATACTCGTACATACACGTGTATTGATACATAGTATAGCCGCCAGTTGCTTTGATATTTGCGTAAATTTTATTTGCAAGTAAACTTTTGCAAGACGGTTAATAATATGAGTATAAAATTTTATTCGCCGCCAACCTCAATGCCTACATACACACATACATGTATACACTGATTCATATTTAACTGATGTAAATCATCTCATATTCCACCATATTTGGATTATTAACCAAAGAACTTGCGAAAATTCTAATTTCATGAGTAAAACTTTCTTCGTTAGTGCAAAGAGCAGCATGCGTATTTGTTGTTAGAGAACGAGTGTAGATGAATAAAGAATATTACTCACATGCAACCCATACTAATCCAAATTTATTCGCATAAAGAGTAAATTTCCCAAAGCCATAATTAACATATCGGAAAAGTTTTTGCATAAGCCTTTGGCACCGGCATGGCCACCAATGCCGCTGTACGCACTAATATCACGGAACGTGAACTATAATATTTGATGCAGTCATTGGCCTAGTCAGTATCTACGTATATACTCACTTATATGCATGTGCATATACATATAAATGCTAGACGCTCTTCATATGCGCATTGCTTGCTACTTAACTACTTTTAGCAGCTTATGAAAGCATATGACGCGGTAGCTGCGGCAAAGGGCGAAGAAAAAAAAAATACAATTAAAGTTGTTGCAGTTCAGACTACTCTCCATATCTCCGCATATGCCTTTCTGTTCCCCCCTCTTTCTCTCTTTTTCTCTCACACTCTTGGCCACTTTTATTGCCATTTTTATCTAACTGCAATATTGCGAGTTCAAGCGTAACGGCAGCTTAAATGAGCTTATGCAAACAAAAGTTTGTGAATTTGTATGAGTTTTGTATGCGCACCTGACGGCAGGCAATGATTTTAAATTGAATTTACAGTTAAGTAAGAGTAAGCTTTATGCAGCCGAATAATTGGTAATAATTTAAATGGAGTTTTGTGGCCGGAAAGTGCTCCAAACAAATTGAAAACATGAAATGTGTAAAATAGTTATTAATGATTATTTGGGTTAATAGACGAATTTTTATTAAAGAGCTTACAAAAACTCATTTCCATTGCTTCGCATAAAAGTTTAATTTCTTTGCGTAAATGCCGTAATTTTTCATATAAACACAATGGAATTCTCGAAACATTACTAGGTAGGCATCTATTGTTAAGGTGATCGAACACAACTCATTTAAAACGTGGTCGCAAAATAATTTTTTCCAAAATTTTCGTACTT